GGAGCTGGGATGGTCGGGGGAGCTGAACTCCTTCCGCGCGGTGCGCTCTCAGCGAGCAGCGTGGCCTGAGGGCCGTCTCCTGGCTCATCAGGAGCAACCACAGGGCTGCTGCGAGGCCGGGTGCCGGGACACAGCAGGTTTGGTTCTCTGATTGTCACTTCTGTTGTAAATAAAAACGCTTGTTGGTGCTACTATCCTAGTTGGGTTGATGGGCTGAAGGAAGCTTGTGCGAAAGAAATGATCCTTTTCTACTGAAGGCAAAATCCAATTACAGCTCTTAGAGGAAAGAGCAGAGGCAAGAGGGGTAAGTAAAAATGGATTCAAGGCTTAATTCAATAGCTTAACTTCTAGATTCCAAGCTCGTGTATCATGGGGTTTCAGGGGTGGGATTTTTGTCATTTAAAGGTCAGCATGTGATGTCCCTGCTGACACTGTGCAGAGAGGAGGTGTTCTTTAGTTTGTAGCCAGCTCCTGGTGAAGTTCCAGATCCCCGAAATCATAAAATGGGTGGGGGCTGTGCAGTACTCTTGTATTGGAAGAGCCCTTTTGCACGTACCTCGTATCTTCAGGATTGCGCTACGGGAACTTAATACACTCGTGCTTCCTCCTGGCGCCGTACCTGAGCAGCCTGACGAGCCAAACCAGCACCTCATCCTCCTGTTGGCAATGTAATCCCGAGGCTCAGGAGATGCAAGTGTGAAAACAGGAGGTGAAAAAGTAAAGGTATCTGTAAGAATGTTCTGGTATAACTCCTTGTCAAGGAAGTGACTTGCCTCTTCAGAGAGCAGAGATTCTGCTCTTTAAGAGAGGGAGTTGGGTTAGATGGAGTGGAAAAATTAATAATGCAGAAACTCCGTGTGTTGACTGAGGGACAAGCAGGTGACGTGAATGAACACATCGAGCTCCTCCGAGGTAAAAGTTACTGTATTAAATACGTGGGCAGTGCTGTCAAGTATCAGTAAGGGAAGGAGGTGAAGGAAAGAAGCCAAAATCAACGAAGTATCTCCTTCGATCACTGCCTGGAGGTGCTGCTTCACAAGAAGAAGAAACGGGAAAAGTGACAGAAATGTGAGAATGAAAGAGAAGTGTTAGTGTAAAGGGAGAACTATTTGTCCAAGTATTTCTATATCACACAAGTTTTTCAAAATATGCATAAGACTTAGGGAAAGTTTGACGAATAGGGACCTACTGCTCTTTATGAACCAAAATATTTTGGAGCTGTTCCCAGGATAATAGGTTTCGTTTAATCATTAATGTTGTTTTTAGCTTATTTGGCTCTTTTCCAGGCCTCCACCTGACTGAATGTTCGTGGTGCTTTTTGTTTTGGATAGCCTAGAGCAAGCGCAGGTCACAAACTTGGGCTTGGAGCGAAAGGGCGCTGCACCGGAGCCCTGTACTGCTGTCTGACCCAGCTCCGGGTTTCCAGCGATCCCCAATTCTGTCCAGCTGAGGAACTCTGAATATATATTATAGATACTGATTTAAAACAACAAATGTCTTCCGTGTGGTCAAGTATTACAGTTCCACAAATGCACTTTTACAGAGCAGCAGCCTAACCTTCAAATTTGCCCTGTTTAGATCATCGTATATTAAAATCTGCAAATGGTTTTATTTACAATAGGCCATCTGACTTGGTGAGCTGCTCGAGAGTCTCAGCACAGCTGAGCGATTTGGTTAACAGTGGCACCCAATGAAGTGCCCCAACGGGGTGGTTTCACCCTCTCTGTGCGCGTATCACGGCATAACTTTCCCTAATGCAGTAGTCCCTGGAATCAACGCGGTTGTGGAATAGAAAAAAATGAGAGTTCTGTTCCCTGATGTGGGTAAATCCTTTTCTAGTGCAGATTTTAGTGAAGGGTCCACTTGGTTATGGTAAATAGGACAAGATGAAAAGTCGGGACTTTCTGATTGATTTGATCCCGCGTGGAAATGACAGGAAGGAGCTCTCCATTTGTGTTGTAGTAAATGCTGTTTCTTGTTTTAAATATTAACCTGTAGGTCTATAACTGGAACTGTTTTGCTGCTATGATTGTACATTGAGCGTATTTGGAAATTTTGCTATAAAACTAAGGTGTTACGTGCATTTTACCATTTCAGGTTCTAAGGAGCTTGATACGGTACACACGAGCCAGGTATATCCTAATGTAAATGGTAACTTCTTGTGTGGCAAACAAATGTATGTCTTTATAGTTTCTTATTTAGCTCATTTCTCTGCTTTAAAGTAATTACTAGAGGTTCCTTGGACTTGTAACACAGGATTTGCTCCAAAGAGAAATCTACAGGTTTGTCTCCTCCTGAGTTCTGTTTACTTGAAGGGCAAACTCTCAGGTTTTTTTCTGTGCAGGCTTGGGAGAAAAAAGGTACAAACATTGATTTCTTTTTAAAAACAAAACAAAAAACGAAGCTGTAGTTTAAGGAAAACAGAGAGAATTCAGCGGTCTCAGGAATTTTACAGTGTAAAATCAAAAGTAAACAAACCCCCAAGGCCCAGAAAACCCACTAAGCAAGACTACATCTTCTAAACAGTAAAGTATGGTGTTGATTCCCCCCCCATGAATGCAGTCCATGATCAATAAAGATTGCAGTGGCATTTTCAAATTAAAGTCATAGAAAACCAATCAGCTACCTGGCAATAATGGCGTGCTCAGCTTTGAGAATTAGCATCTTAATCCTTCATAATCTGGGAATTCAAAATTAAAAAAATAACCTCACATGCCAATACAATTCACCTGTGATGGGTGAACGAGTTCCACGAGGTTTCCAGTAGAATTGAGAACAGCTCCTGGTTTAGTTTCATGTAGAGCAGTGGATCATGACCGTTAGAGGGCAGCTGGAGCCTTAACCTGGGCCCTGCTGCTGTTCGTACCCGCCTGAAACAGTTGAGGAAAACCTGCAGAGCAGAAGGTGTCCGGGAGGCTGTGACTGCCGAGTGTGGTGGCGAGCAGCTGCTCGGGCTGCACTGCCTTCAGCTCCAGCTCAAAGCCAGCGTTCCAGGTGTTCCCAGAAGTGACCTCTGGGTGAGCCTGCTCTGTGCCCCAGCCTTACAGCTGGGCAGGCGTCCGTTTGTCCAGCTCGGCTTGATGTTGCTGCTGGGCACCGCAGCGCCGGGCCTGGCGTGGCTCACGGACGTGAAGCCCCCTGGCAGCCAGCCATGCCCGTCTTTCACGGGGGCAGTTCCAGATCCCAATTTCCCCTGCGGTGCAGTTCTAGATCCCGTCAGGCTCTGGAGCCTGTGTGGGGCAGGAAAACCACGGGG